GGCTCGGCCCGGGTAGGTGCCCGCCCCGCGCGCCGCAGCCATGGCCGAGGAGGCGGAGAGGAAGCCGGTGCTGGAGACGGTGAGTGCAGGCAGCCGCTGCCCCCGGCGCAGGGCGGAGCCGCCGCGCGGAGCGGGACCCGCTCTGCTCCAAGGGCCGGGACCCGAGCGCGGGGCTCCGCGCGCGGCCCCGGCGTCGCCCCCGCGCCACGTGTTCGCCTCCCGCCGGGATGTGACCATCCGCGGGGGGGTGGTTTCACGCTGGTTCTAGCTCTCTTTGAATGAGGGCCGGGCGGGGCTAGGAGCTGGGGGTAGACAAGCTGCCGCTGTAGCCAGCAAGCAGCTTGACCCAGGAAGGAGCCCGGCTGGGTTAATTTTCCTAAAGGGTCTGAGCACAGGTGCAGCAGGCTTGAGGCTCATAAGGTCTTTTGCAACTAGGAGGCGAGTTCATGCTCTTCTAGTATCTGTCACCTCCATGACCTATTTTATGAATAAGGGGATCTTTTAAATGCAAGTTAAGCATTCCCAACATTGCCAATTAAGGTGTGGAAAATCTAGCCCTCAATCTAATATGTGCTTTGGAAGGGAGTGAGCGAGAGGGTGGAGGAGCAGAGACTAGCTATAGAGCTGCAGGGGTGTTGCACATCTGCTTCTAATCTCTCGCCTGTTGTCATTTTGGAGAGAGTGGGTGCATCTACATGAGACGCTAACAGCCCAACAGCCTAATAATGCTGTGTAGTAGCCCATCGCAGCAGAAACGGTGCCAATACGCTACTGCCCGGTATTATTAGGCTACTGCGCAGTAATGTCACTAAAAAGGTGTTTGCTGGAGCTACTGTTATTGCACATTTATGTAGTACTTGATTGTGTACCCATCCTCTTGCAAAATATGAAACATCATAACCAGAAGGAAACAGTTCATAGAGGTGTACTGATACATTGGTCCAATATCAGATCTGCACTGATATAAAAAAAATTGACTATCGGAAATTGGCTTTTTTGCCTGATGTGGCAGCGCAGCATGTGGGTGGCAAGGAGCACAGCCTGGCAGCTTGCAGAGCTGCATCCAGCTGGTAAGTCTGTTGTGGTAGAAGGGGAGGGTGGTGGGGAGGGCTGGGCGCAGATCAATGCCCCTATGGTGAGGGTGGGGGTGGGGCAGGGCACAGGACAGAGCTGTGGCTTGTCTGAGGTGGAGCAGAGGCTCCCATCCCTGTGCACACCCCAGGAGGGCACAGGTGGGATGTGTGCCCCTAGATCTGTGTGGGGAGGGGTGGGCTGCCTTGGGCTCTTCCCGGCAGGGGCTGGGCCAAGCTGTGATCAGGGCACTGGGTTGGTGGGGGGGGCTATGGTGAATTTTGGGGTGGCTGCAGCCCCCCCACCATAACCCCCTACCAGCGCTGCTGCCGCCCACCCCAAGCACAGCACAGCCCAGCCCCTGCTGGGAAGAGCCTGGTGCAGCCCCTGCTCCAGCCCTCAGCAGCAGTCCCCTCCTCCCCACGCAGATGTGGGAACACATGCCCCCCTGTGTCTTCCTGGGGTGCTCTCAGCAGCAGGAGCTCCCCCTCCCTGCACCCTCCAGACAAGCCACGGTTCCATCCTGTGTCCCACACTACCCTGGCTGGGCAGTGTCTGCCCCAGCCCCACTCCCTCCCTCGCCACAGGGGCCTTGGTCTGCCCCTGCCATGCCCCTTCCCTTCCACCTCCCCTTCCGTCACACAGACTTACCAGCTGGACACTGCTCTTTGCTGCTGAGCTGCGTATCAGAAATCGGATCCTGTTGGCCGATATGCTTCTTTAAGCATCGTTTGTTGGTATCAGCCCAAAAAATCTCTCTTGGTAAGTGGTATGTTAAAGAGGTGCACATCCATCAGACAACTTCAAGGTAAATAAACTGCTCAAACTTTTATCTGAGCTTAATTTGCACAAAATGAACTTTGCCGACCAGGAGATATTCTACCGGGGTGGGCAATTACTTCAGGCGGAGGGCTGCTTACTGAGTTTTGGCAAGCAATCGAAGGCTGTATGACAGGCAGCCGGGGCAGATAAATATTAATTTTCTAAATTTTTTAGGGGCCCCATGGGCAGGATAGAATGGCCTGATGGGCTGGCCCATGGGCTGCATTTTGCCCACCCCTGTGACTTATACCTTCAACTGTCCTGTGAAATATGAATTTGCATTTGCATTTGGAGAAATTTTACAATCTTTGCATTCTCCTATGCCTGAAAAGGCATGAGTGTACCCAAAAGCTTGTGAATAAAGAATTTTTTTTTGCAAATATCTTGTTGGTCTAATAAGATATCACCTCTACCCAGAGTTCTGATTCCAGTAACCTAAATCTAGTTGAAACATCCCCTCTTGGAAAAATGTCTGTTGGAGCTGAAACTGGTATGAGAATTATGTAGCTAATTTTAATTGATCCAACTCTGCAGTGGTGCAGCTTAATGGTTAATGTATGCCTCTAAAAATTCAATACACGTGTATGGGGGAAATTGCATTCCTTTGCAGTAATGAATTACTGGGCTGTCAGTGCATCCCTGCATGTAAGGAAAGAATTTTTTTTATCTCTGGAATTTGCAGAAGCACTGGGGGGCCATCCAGACCCATATTCAGGTTCATAGTCTACCAGTGGAAGTTGAGGGTGTTATCTGTCCACATCTGTCTCAGGATAGGAGCTGTTTGCTAAAAGAAAATAGACTGTTACCTGCTTCCCCTCTGCTTAGTGGCAAGGTGTGGTTATAGCTCTGTGTTGTATGCATTACCAAGAGAGAGCTGCATATCTGGTCATCTTGCACCTAGTGTAATTCACAGAAATGTATAAAACCAATGTCAATTCTCCCAGGGATTGTTTTTGTGTTTGCATGCTCATCCCCTGTAATAAGCGGTTTGTCAAGAGGTGTGAAAGGATGATTCAGAGTTAGGATTTATTTTCTCCTCATTAGAAAGAAGAATAACTTTGTCCAGCGTTTATCTGCACCACAGTCTGTGATGCCAGTTTGTTCTGGTAACATCTTCTGTGATGCTAAATAATATTGCTGACAAGTTAACGAGGTAGATTTGATTTAACTCAAATCGATTTTAAAGTGTCATTTAAATCACGATTTAAATCACTGGTCAGGAAGCCTCGATTTAATCATTGTTTTCTACAAAAAGTGCATCCTTGTTTGCAACCTTAATGCATATAATCTACAGCTCAGAGATAGATGGAGGTTTCATTTTTAGAAGGTACACGCTATATATTTTAAAGCAGTGATTTATTTTGATACTTTTCAGATTAATTTTGCAGCTACTTCAGAAAACCAAATCATAATTCAGTTATTTTATTTACCACAGCTAATTGAAGCAGATACTCATGAAGTCATTGGGAGGTGAGCTATCTCCAATTCACTAGATTACTCATGGATATTTGGGGGATATTTTTGCCATGTTGTATTAGGAGGACAACAACAACCATCACCAAAAACAACAGACACCTACATTGGTGTTTCAGTTTAATAAAACAAGCTTATGCATTTTGGATATTTTTCTTCAACAACAAACATGCATATTTATTTTAACAAAACAAATTATGTATTTTTGAATTTTTAACTATTTTAGTTATAAATGTGAAATGTGTTTTTTAACAAAAATTAAATAGATTATTTCAGCCAGGTCAGTATGATAAACTTAAAGTATTTGCATAGAGACAGTAGGGCTGATGGGTAGGTCTCATCTCCATATACTGCTGTTAACAAAGATGTTATCTTGGGAGATATAAATCCACAGTTAGAGAACTGAAATGCTTAGATGGGATCTTCAAGACTGAGCACTGAGTCCCATTGGGCTCAGTTGTTTTCTTTCGTCTTTACTAACCTATAGAGGAGCCTCTGGGAACCCCATAAGATTGGGTCCCTAATATAGTCCATTGCCTCTTGTGACCTGTTTATAAAACCTTTTCTAAAAAGGTTACATTAATATATTGTCTCAACAAGTATAAAAATACAAGGTATAGTCTATATTCCATGGTATCATCTTTGAGCTTTAACATATCTTAAACTAAAACCACTTTTATATAGGTTTATTTTTTTTTTAAAAAAAGCATCTGAACAAAAAACTTCAACACGATTAAATTTTTTAAAATCTCATTTAAATAAAAAAACAATTTTTTTAAATTAAATTTTATTTTTTTAATCTCAATTTTTAACCTACCCTGCAAGTTAAAATTGCTAACCAATGGACAGCGGGGGAGAAGAATCAAGAGGAGAAAAAAAGCTGTGTTTGTGAAAGTAGATGGAGTAGAAAGAACCAAGAAATTGCCTCTCACTTTGATTCCTTAAAACATTTGAACTGTGGTTGGATCATGGAAGGATTGTCAGACAAGGAATATGAACGATGAAGCCAGTCAGGCTGACCTATTCCCAAACCGCCTCAGATAGGTGCCTCGAGTGTCTTCTTGCAAACTTTCAGTGAAGAATATTCTCCAAGTTTCCTAGACAGCATGTTCCATTGTCCTTTTTAATAGGTGGACAGCATTTTCCTAAGGTTGGACCTGAATCGAGTTTGCTGCAGTTTAAACCCATTGCCATGTCTCCTGTCCTTTGTGACAAGGGAGAACAATGCTTCTCAGTTTTCTTTATGGCAGCCTTTCAAATATTTGAAATGGAGTTAAGTTAGGACTAACATCACCTAAAAAATGCCTGCCTTTTAAAGGGAGTTGCTGAACTCCTGTGAAAACCAGGCCTAGAGCTCATGAACGACTGGTGTCTTCTGAGACTGGGGGAGGGGGGGAACGACACCATTTGTAGGCGCCAGCATTGGTGGCGAGTGGCAAGTGGGAATAGCGGTGAGTGGGTGGCGGGGATCGA